TCAGTCTGTCACCCAGGCTGGAGTGCAGTGGTGTGATCTTGGCTCACTGCAACCTCCGCCTCCTGGGTTCAGGCGATTCTCCTGCCTTGGCCTCCGGAGTAGATGTGGAGAATTCTTGCCAGTGGAGGTTATTCACTGAATCACAGCTTGAAAGGTTTTCTGCAACTCTTTCTCTAGAGGTGGTGAACTTAAGAGAGGACGGATTTTCATTTACCCGAAAGAGTTCAGAACAAAAGCCAAGCAGCAGCAAGGGAAGCAGATTTTTGGAGCGCCCACCCTGTGAGAGCTTTCTCAAATGGTGTCCCATTGATTCTTACAAAAGCTCTGCCTGAAGGTATGATTGTGCCCATTGTATAAACAGCGAAACTGAGATTCACTAAAGTTGTGTAAATCACACGGTTCCCAAGTGGCAGAATTAGAATTCAAAATCAGCTGTCTCTGGTTCATAAATTTGCATTTCCTCCCCGTCACCAAAACTCCAGATGTGAACTCCCTGTCTGACCAAAGCCTACAACGATGACAACTCCATGTCTCTTCCTGCTGACAAGCACAGTACCTGCCATTACTGCCTCAGGTGTCCAGCGAAATACGGAGTTTGTTTACAAAATAAGTCTCCCAGCGTTCTCTATGTATTAGCAACCCCAGAGAAGGAAGGGCTGCCTGCTTTGCAAAGATCAAACTCCCTGTGTGTTTCACCCTCTGCACACTTCAAAACCAGGCTTCTACAAGCCAGTTACTCCAGGCGCTTAGCAAAAGGGTAAATAAAATGTTCTCTGTATCCCTGGAAATCCCCAATAAGAGCTCTAAAGTCTTCTCAAATCAACAAACTCTGAATTAGAAGAAAGGAGATTACTGCGTTTGGAGTTTTGAAATATCAAACCTGGAACAAATAATCTCTCTCACTCTCAGTTTATTTGTATGTGAAATAAGGCGGGGCAGGGGGAGTGGTTATGGAGGGGATGCATAATGGATTAGAGCATTCTATACAGTCCTGGGTGGGGGGAATTAATGATACTACTTATCATGACAGTTGCCACACTCACACTGTAGCAGTCTCCCATTTGTCTACGGGGAACCAACTCCTTGCAGGGACTGCCTGAGTTTTTGTTTGGTCCAACTGAGTGATAGACATATAAGGATGCAGGGCTGGGCATGAAAATGAGTCACCAAGGTGGGACTCCCTTCTGTGACTCATCAGGTGAGTTCCAGAATGGCAGAAGCCTCTAACAAAAAAGATGCAATCAGTTTGTCTCTGGTACTCTCCGCACACCTGCAATTTAGGACCTGATAGCTAGAGATCCCCTTTGGGAAAGAATTTTCAGTGAATATGAAGGAAAAGATGAATTTGATGGAAAAGAAAGTCAATATTTTCACTATTCAGAAGTATAAAAGGAATGTCATAAAGGTTATACTTAAGGTACTTAACCTAGAGTTTATTCTAAAATACCACCCCAAATCCCCTATCTAACATGAATAAGGTGGCAAAAGTTCTGGTTACATGGAAAGATCAGACGCTTGCAAAACACTCACACACACACCTCATTTGTGTAGTGTTTACTTAGCCCTTACCAAGCAGGTGGTATTAGCTCCATTTTAAAGAAGAAACAGACAGTGAAAGATCAAGTGACTTTCTCCAGGGCTTTTGGCACCTTGAAATTTCTTTCATCTCAGCTGGGTGCAGTGGCTCACGCCTGTAATCCCAGCACTTTGGGAGGCCAAGGCAGGCGGATCACAAGGTCAAGAGATTGAGACCATCCTGGCCAACACAGTGAAACCCCATCTCTACTAAAAATACAAAAATTAGCTGGGCGTGGTGGCATGCACCTGTAGTCCCAGCTACTCGGGAGGCTGAGGCAGGAGAATCACTTGAACCCGGGAGGCAGAGGTTGCAGTGAGCCAAGATCGTGCCACTGCACTCCATCCTGGCCACAGAGCAAGACTCCGTCTCAAAAACAAAAAAAAAGTTATATTTCATCTCTACCACGAAAGCTCTCTAAAATATACTGAGCAGAGCATAGCATGAAAAACTTTGGTAGGTTTTTTTTTTTTTTTTTCTGGAGACAGTATCCCATTCTGTCCCCTAGGCTGGAATGCCATGGTGTGATCATGGCTCACTGCAGCCTGGAACTCCTGGGCTCAAGCGATCCTCCCATCAGCCTCCTGAGTACTTAGCTTTCACATTGCTGTTTAAAGGTTTTGTCATCTGGTAGTGGAGCTTGACAATAGCCAAGATAAAATTGCCATCTTTATCACATGGAGGTATGCCCTACTTGAAAGACAACCAAATATTATAAAAATTCTCACTCAGGTACATGAATGAGTTACATAGTGGTATTTTAGAGGGATATTTTGGTTTTAACAAATATTAACAAATGATTCATGTTGCAAATTTCCTTCGATGTGCTTAAAATAGGACCTGATTTGCACCGACCTGGAATTTGTATCCAAGCATCCATGCACTATAGAGCAAGGGACACCTACCTGTACCCTCAGTTCCTTCCCACAGCAAAGCGTTTACTAAAGGTGTCCTCTCTAACCTTGGCTCACCATCGCCAGGTGATGAGTGTCTAGAACAAAGTGAAATGACCTCAAGAAAGGTCACAAGGAAGGAGGAGCATTTGGGAGCTACTCACAATATAATGATTATGCCCCATGCAGAGAGAGGAAGGTGAATGGATTTGCTTTGCCCTGCTGTGCCACAGAAACAGGCCACATTAGTTCCATTTATCTCTAGGTCTATCTGTAATACAAACTGGCTCCAGATCTTCATTTTTTACATAAATAATGTGGCATGTGGCTTAGTTTCTATTATGCGGTTGCCATGGCAGTTCCTCCAGTTGGCTCTTTTTCAGTGAAATGAAAAAAGGCACTTGTTAGGGGGCAGGGAAAATGCACAGGGTTGGTGGGGAAGGGCTCAGACACCTGGGCAGCCTTTGCGATCACAGGGAATGCTAGGAATATGAGCTTCCATTTGGCAGGACCACAGCCCGACCTCATAGCCGGAAAGAAGGAAGCAAGTTGTGTGGGATTTTGAGCTTGGAGCTTATTTATTAAATCGAGCTGCTTGGGAAGTTTAATGAGGTTTCAACCAGAAATCTTCTCGGGGCTTCTCTTTGGGGTAACAAGCAGTGGGGGTGGAGAGTTCCTAGGAGAAGTCCAGAAGCACCTGGGCCGAGAGCCTGGCACTCTGCCAAGCTCGTTAGCACTGATAGGGTAACACAGCCCTTCTCTCACCCGATTCCAGGCCTGTCATTAAAACCAGGGGAAGGGCTGCTTCCTTCATTAAACCTTCCCTCTCTCCCTGACTGCCTTTGGAGGCCCCCACAGAACAGAGGTGCTGCTGTGCTTATCATGCACGTGTTGTTATTCTGGCGATCATGGATGAACTTCAGGGGCCTATGAACCCCCTGAAATACGAGTTTGATTTTATGGGTAGGTGTATTTTTCAGGGCTATGGGTCTAGATCTCATCAAAATCTCAGAAGGACTTTCCTTAATACAAAATGAAATTCAGATGCTCTAGGACTGGCTCTGCAAGGAACACTCTGGATAGAGGTACGTGGGCCCTGGGATTTTAGAGTTGGCCACACCTAGTTCCAGAGATCACTTCCTCCTTCTGCAGTCTGTCACTGAAGATGGTTGGTACTTTATTCTGGCCTCAAGGTGACAGTTTTTTTTGAACAGTTAATTTGTATTAGTGACTCATCTATGACTTTCCCGTAGTACAGATTACACTCTCCCCCTGCACTCAGAATCACCTGGGAATGTTCAAGTGCTGGGGACTGCGCCGCACACCGAATGCTCCGATTTCATTGGTCTGGGATGGGACACCCTGGATGATGATTGTCATGGGCAGCCAGGTCTGATAACTCAGGGCTAACAGCAGGCAGAGGAACAGGGAACTGAAGTAAGGAAGGGGAAGGGTTTTCATCTCATCTGCCATTTTTGGTGACTGGTTGTAGGTGCCGGAAATGCTCTACCGTGAGGGTTTCAAAACTGGTTACCAACTCATTCTGAGCTGGGAATATTCTTACCCACTGGTAATATACAGGGGAAGGGAAGTTGTCAGTATATATGCAGATATTTTCCATTTTAAACTTTATGTGTATACGCACAGACGTACTTAAGTCCAACTTGTGGTCCCTGCACTCAAGAGCACACACAGCCCTAAAAGCCCCATTCAGAAGAACACCACACATAGTACGCCGCCGCTTTGCAGGTCCCTCAATGAGACTGCACTGCTTTCACTGACACTGAGAATGTTTCCCTTCAAGGAAGACTGTCTTGGCCTTCTCAGGCTCTCAGCAGAGGATGATGACGATGATAATAGCAGCCGTCACTCACTTTACATGGTAAAGTGGCACAGTACACACTGTTCTAGATTTTTTTTTTTTTTTTTTTTTTTGAGATGGAGTCTCGCTCTGTTGCCCAGGCTGAAGTGCAATGGCACGATCTTGGCTCACTGCTACTTCTGCCTCCCGGGTTCAAGCAATTCTTCTGCCTCAGCCTCCCAAGTAGCTGGGACTACAGGTGTACACCAACATGTACCACAATGCAAATTCCAGGTTGTCTCTTTAGTAGAGACGGGGTTTCACCATGTTGACCAGGCTGGTCTCGAACTCCTGATCTTAGGTGATCCACCTGCCTCAGCCTCCAAAGTACTGGAATTACAGGTGTGAGCCACCATGCCAGGATGATGCTTTCTATGTGTAAAGTTAGTTTTCAGAGCAATCTGGTGAAAACTGTAGTATTATCGTCATCCCCATTTTGCAGATGAGGAAACTAAGGCAGGAGGGTGTAAATAACATGCTCAGATTTATACCATGATAAAAAGGCAGAACTGGGACACAAACTCATGCACTTTGCCTCCTGAGTGTGTCTTTGAGCCATGGAGTCAGACATATTTGCCCAGCAGTGCTATAAGAAAAGCTAGGCAGAGACAGGAACAGGGGAGCACTGGCCACTAGATCCAGAACCTTAACCTTCTTTTCCCTGTGACAGGCTTCATCCCTCCACCCCTCATCTTCGGGGCCGGCATTGATTCCACCTGCCTGTTCTGGAGCACGTTCTGTGGGGAGCAAGGCGCCTGCGTCCTCTACGACAATGTGGTCTACAGATACCTGTATGTCAGCATCGCCATCGCGCTCAAATCCTTCGCCTTCATCCTGTACACCACCACGTGGCAGTGCCTGAGGAAAAACTATAAACGCTACATCAAAAACCACGAGGGCGGGCTGAGCACCAGTGAGTTCTTTGCCTCTACTCTGACCCTAGACAACCTGGGGAGGGACCCTGTGCCCGCAAACCAGACACATAGGACAAAGTTTATCTATAACCTGGAAGACCATGAGTGGTGTGAAAACATGGAGTCCGTTTTATAGTGACTAAAGGAGGGCTGAACTCTGTATTAGTAATCCAAGGGTCATTTTTTTCTTAAAAAAAGAAAAAAAGGTTTCCAAAAAAAAACCAAAACTCAATACACACACAGAGGCACAGACGCACACACACTCAGACAGACACACCGACTTTGTCTTTTTTCTGAACATCAGAGCCAGACAGGATTCAAAATAAGGAGAGAATGAGATCGTGCGGCGGGGTCCTGGAGGCCACTCGCGCGGCTGGGCCACAGAGTCTGCTTTGAAGGCACCTCATGGTTTTCAGGATGCCGACAGCTGCAAGCAACAGGCACTGCCAAATTCAGGGAACAGTGGTGGCCAGCTTGGAGGATGGACATTTCTGGATATACATACACATACAAAACAGAAAACATTTTTTTAAAGTTTACTAAAATAAAAAAAAAATTAAAAAAAAAAAAAAACACAAGTTGAAAGCATTGCCAGATTAAGCACTAGTGACACACCGCGTGCCACCCTCTTCCTCCAGATGGGGGTGGGGGCGGGCGCACAAGTCGGAGGGGTGGAAGCCCCACTCCTCTCTCTGACTTTCGCAATATGGGTCACTGTGTAGACGACTCACCCAGTCTGCATGTGGTTCAAGGCCCCAGAGTTCTCTCAGTGATGCTAATGGGTGATCTGTGCTGGAGTTTGTAATTGGCACCTCTCGCCAGCTCCATCTCCATGTTCAAGACTGAGGGCCTGAGGGGGAGCCGGGTGGGGGGCCAGCACCTCCCAGTGGCGGGCATCCACCTTCCCCCAGCCCCACAGAGTGACCTCAGGAAGCAGTAGGCCTCGCCTGGCTATGACTGACCCGGCTCAGAGCTGGTGAGACCCAACACAGTCCAAGTCATTTGCTTACATTTGCCAAACATTTTGCCATTTTTAAAAGAAAAAAACACAATCCATATGAATTTCAAACTGTTGTATGTATAATCCTCTAATACTATTTTTAACTACTTCTAAAATCTGTTAACCCTTCAGTCACTAACACAGTTCTCTAGGCCGGATTTATTATGCTGGTTGCTTTTACTTTTTTTTCTCCTTTTTTAATGCACCAAAAATATGTGATACAAGGGATGCAATTAACCTATTGTAATTTTTATCACTTTATCCTCATTCGGATATTCTACAAAAACAAGAATATATAATGTGTTATAAGAAAAAAAAAAAATGCTTCAAAAAGAGAGTGAATATGCAGCCTGCCTTTAAAAGAATCACATTTGAGACAACAGGGGATAATGTGATGAATTGCAAATTTGCCTTTTAGCTTTCTTCCCCATGATTCAGTGATCACTGTCATGGGAAGCCCTTTTATATTCATGCTTGACATTCCAAGAGGCGTTCTTTTCAGCCTGTGGAGGAGAAACTCTTAGATGTGGGTTTGTGGTGTATGGATGCAACACTTCCGGGGATGGGAAAGAAGAACAGTTCCCTAGCACAAGCTGTTAAGAAGTCTGTAGCGTCTCTGATAACAAATAGACCCACAAGCTCCTGGAAACTGTCATGTGTCCAATGCATGAAAATGTCTCTGACATTTTCAGGGTTAGTCTGGAACTAAGGCCCTTGTCTGTGTTTTGAAAGTGGGTGGACCTCAGAGAATGAACCTGTTATGATTTGGGGTAAGAATCACATTAGAAAACCTCTTGCAACCAGTACACTAGGCCTTCTATGGCCATTTCCATAAGGGGACAGAGCTTAGGTAAAGGCACACACTCATACACAACAAAGGGCCCTGCTAACTTACCGCTCATGCTTCTTCAGTAACCTTTGTTCATGTCACATTCCTGGCGCTGGAAAAAAAACTCAAAGGTTGATTGGTTTGCTTTTTCACCTTGGACACATTTGCAGTTTACCCAGAAGGCAAACAAAAGAATCAGGAAATAAAAAATGGTTGGGCATGGGGCAGATATGGTACCAAATTTTTAATGAACGTTGTAAATGAAAAGGCTTGAATGACAGCCCAAATCTAGAGAAAGCACTGAGCAAGACCAACGAAAAGAAAAGCTGTGTCGTGGTGTGGGGCCACCATGATCAGCTACCTGGGGCAGGATGCTTCTGAGACAGGCCTTTCATCTGCTTAGTGTTAGTATGTCCTTGCTTATGAAAATGGGGACACTCATCAGTATGTTAACTAGTAAAGGGGAGATGGTTCTCCAACCACTTCATAAAATATGTATATTCTGTTGTTCCTAAGGCTTTGAGAATATCCTGTACAGGTTTTGGTTTAGTTTTGCAAATGTATTGCTAATAGGTCACTCCTATAGATTATTGCTTGGCCCTTCAAACTCAGTACACACACACTGAGGCCCTTTGACCTAGTGTTTTATGGAACTCTTTGTTTTGAGAGGAAAAAAAAAAGGTTTTTAAAACTCTTTGCATCTTGGACTTTTTTCCCTAAAATTTTAGGATGAACGTGAAAAAGATGTTAGAATAACAGGAAGACAACTCCAGGGCTGAGTTTTATCAGCAATTGGGTATAAATTTAAAGACCCCTGTTGCAAGATGGCTCTGAATTCTGTTGTATTGTCTTTTAAAATTTTAATTTTTCTCATATACTACCGAACAGAAAACTCAGTCTAGATTTAATTTGCCTTTTGTGCTCTAAAGAAGCATTGTACATACAACACTAGATCAGCCCCCTCGATTATCTGTTTGGTTTCAAGTGAATGAAAAGATTTCCTGGTAAGATCGCCATTGGATTTACAGAACACAAAAAATGTACGGGATGGAATAAACCTAGAAAGTGAATGCTAGAGTTCTCTCTCTTCTGCTATAAACTCCTACACCATCTCAGTTGAACATGCCCGGGGTGGATGAAAAGTCTCTCTCTGCTGAAACTGACAGATCTTTGTAACTCCTACGGGTAGACCAAGAAGGTTTGGGTTTTGTTTTTGTTTAACCAATATCATTCCCTCCTATGAAGCAAGCACATTTTGCAAACATGCCTCTCTAGGGGATGCGGTTTGCTGTCTTCTCTCAGCTGAGGCTGTGTGCTGTCAGGGAAAGCTGGCTGTGAGGCACCCTGGGGACGCAGGGTTCCAGAAGGCCACAGCATGGCACGCTGGCTTTCCTCACAGCTAATGAAGGATTGGGAGCAGTCTCCTTTCACGGTCTCCCCAAGGAGCTTGCTGGGAACACTTAACAGACAAAATAATAACTGGAAACCCAAGAGCTCCTAAGGAATCATTTGACAGAGTTGCTAACATCTTCCAAGCAGGAGGGAGCGTGCCTCTCCGTAAAAATCACTTCCTTTTCACCATCTGATCATGGAATAGCTCGCTCTAGCGCTTTTAAAGATTGGTTGAGTGGCATCTGTACATTCCAGTCCCCCGATCCCACTCCCCTGTGTCCAGTAATTGCCCTCCAGCTTCCCCTCACTCACACTATGGCAGGGCTTCCCAGCCCTTCTTGTTGAAAAACCTGCAGAAATGGTCCACATGAGGGCGACCAGCTGATCCCTGGGATGGTAGTCACACCACTCTTGAGGAATTTTCCCAGGAAAAAGGTTCTCCTGTGGTTACTAATGGTTATTCTTTCACACCTTCCAGAGGAGGTCTTTCACTGAGGAACATGTAAAATGGAGATAGATACATGTACTAAAATAGAGAAACCTCCGAGGAAAAGTAGTTTCTGGCTCCCCGTGTGCCTGCTGGGCTGGTTTTCTTGCTGCCTGCTGCTTCCAGTCCTAGGAAGTCTGGTTTCTTCTCCACCCAGCCATGCCTGCCAGACCTGTGTAGTCTGCTGTAAGCCCTGCTAGGAACCCCAAAGGCCCTACTCAGCAGTGGTAAGCTATGAAGGTCAATGTATGGATGTCAATGCATCTGATCATCCAGTCAAGGCCAGAAAAACAGGATGAGCTTCTGTTGCAGTTGGACGGAGTTACACTATATTTTGTTGTTGCTTGAATATTTTATTTGGTTTGGTTTAGATGAGGGAAGAAACCATGCAAGCAGTTCTTTCAGTCTAACAGATGGAGAATACTTGCCGCTGCCTGGTGCTGTTCTTACCTGACCATCTTGATGGCTTGGGAGAACCACATATCTGGTCAGAAGCCAGAGGAAAGTACCAGATACATAGCAGGGGCCTGCTGACTCCACTGGCCTCGTGCCACTCTCCTCTGATTGACCTCCTCAACCATGATCCATGTTTCCCTTTAGGGACTGTTTCCCCTTAGGTTAGAATCCACTTCAAATATCTAAGAGGCGCCAACTTTTCCAAGAGAGGGTGTTAGTGAAGTTAAATTTGGCCTGGAAAATTAGTTCAAGACCCAAATATAGTATTTACCCATTTTCTACCCTTCCTTCTTTCCTTTTTCATTACACCTGCTTCACCCAACTTATTTCAAACTGCTACTCCCCCAAACAGCTGCAAGAACGTAATCCCTTAGAGTAAACCACCCTAAATGACAGACTTTGGACCCCACGCCCCTAGTGTATTGTCATTGCTCTAGAGTAATTGGAATACCCTCTCACTGGTGCAAGATACAAGGAAGATATTTTTGTTCAAATGCCTCTTATGGGGCCTGTTGCCTAGAACAGCATGTGGAATCCACCATGAATGCACGCAGCCACCCACACCTGCCTCATCAGTAGCTTCAGCAACCCAGAATGCTTGGTCATCATGGCAGGGACAACTTGGGTTATAAAAGCTAAAATGGAAAATTCTGGAAAGCAAAGATAGCCCTGTCCCTTAGAAACCTGTGACTGCCATGGAGACAGGGACAACTCACACTTCTCAGAGACTATCCACGTTAGCATTTTTCTTTGCAGAGTTTGTTTTATTTGGGGATGCATTGTATGAGCTTGATATATTCGAAACATGTATTTGTTTTATTCATTCCTTAAAATTTTGGCTATATGCCAAGCCCTAGATCAGATACAAATGTGGAAAAGATTTGTTCCCTACCCTCCGCAAGAACCCCCATTTCAGCAAGCTGGACAGATCTGAACACAAACAAAACCCATGGGATAATAGTATTAAGAGCTAGGGTCTGTCTGGGGATAAGGAGAGCCAATTCAAGATGGTGGTGAGTTCTGCCTCATGGCAGCAAGAATCAGGAAGGCTCTGGAGAGTGGGTGGCTTAGAAACTAAGAACTAAAGAGCAGTGAGTGACTTTTGGGGAAACACGGTGAGAAGATGAGGGGTAGAATTGCCCCCAGAGAGCCACCAAAACACATTCACAAGTGTTTTCTGTAATAGGCCAAGTAATAAATATTTTAGACTTTGTGGACCTGCAGTCTCTGTTGCAACTACTCAACTGTTGTAGTACCATGAGATCAGCCATAGACTACAGGTAAACAAATGGACTATGTTCCAATAAAGCTTTATATACAAAGACAGTCGGTGGCTGAGGGAAGGCCATAGTTTGCTGATCTCTGTTCTCTTGCACAGGCAAGGCCTCAAGCAGCACTGCGTGTTTGGGGGACCCTAGCGGCTGAGCATAGGTGAGGCAGATCCCAGCGCCTAAGACTCTGCTGTAGCATGGGCCAGGGCATATATAGGAAAGGACCTTGAGCTAGGTGTCCATCGGCCTTAACACTCCTGACCATGAGACTCTAATTCAGATATCTCATTTCCAAGAATAAGGTAAGTACCCCTTTGCTCTCATGGCTAAAATTGAAGGCAACATTATTTTTCTCTTGTGTGATGTGGCGGATTTGAACTGTATGGTCTACATTCCCATACAGCTGTGACACTGCAGCTCGACTAGAGTAACCATCCTTTTCTCTTAAATGATGGAAATGGGCACATGAGGGAGAAATGTTCAAACTAGAAAAAGAAGAGTGAATCCAGATACCAAAGAGTATTTCCAATCCTTTTCCTCCCCACAACCAACACAAAACACTGTCGCCCTAAAGTTAACAGATATGCCAGGTAAAATACTTGGTAAGCACTAGTAATAACTACTACTAATAGTAGCTAACAAACATTTTTCAAGCACTTACTATGAATCAGCTGCTGGCTGAGCTTATTTCATGTATTAGCTCATGTAATCTCAACCATAGGGTGGCTCAAATTCACAAAGCAGACTTAGGATTCAAACCTAGGTGTATGAAAAAGCTTTCAGGTCTTAAAAAGCTCTCCTTATTCACAGACAGACCCATAACCACTATGGGTACTACCTCCCTACTGGGCAAGACACAAGGGACCTCCCTCCCCACCTTTAGACACTGATCAAGAAGACTGTGGCCCAAGTAAACTCTGGGGCCCCACACGCTCCCACTTGCCTCCTGATATAACAACCAGGACACCATGGCAACAGTGTTCTGGGGCTGTGTGTTTTTCTGTTGCCATTCCTGGTATTAACCCCTGATCCCAGTGGTCCATTGATACGAAGTGTTTTACCTGAAATGGACAGATAAGAGGAATCAGATAGGAGACTCTCCTACTCTAGTGCATTCTGAAATGCACTATCAAAGCACCAAGGTGCCAGGGAGGCACTCCACAGTGCTGGTCATCAGCTCCCCTAGAGAGACCCTAGACACCTGCCATGGCTGGCACCCCTTTAGTCTACAGCATCAACCACAGGAGATCAACTCTGGCCCCAGGGCTTCAAACACACTGAAGTTGGTCCCTAATTAGATATACTTCCTCTCCAAAGGAGACCAGGGGCACTTGTCATATTGAGTTCAAGTCCCTGGTCAAACTCAGGCACTAGCCACCCTAACTTGCTGTTCTGTCTTCTATTCTCAGATTCCACGCTTTTAGGAACAGAATATCCAGACATTGCCATTTTTGTAATAGTGACTCAGGTCAACAATCAAGAGTTGGTGATTATCATAAGTTTTCAATTTTTTCCCATAAGATAGAATTGATTATGTTCTTTTGCTATGAGCAAATGAACAACATAGCAAGTTTTCTGGAGGTTTAACATTCTGTAGGTGGACACTTGCCATCCCATTAATGTTTTTCTTAGCATTAACCTTATAGAAGACTCTCACACTAACCTTATAGAAGACTGCTCTCATGGAGACATGTTTGGCAAGACCATTTGATTTTATAATCTAAGGCCATAAAATGAATTGGAAGCATAGAATTTACAAAGTGTTGCTATAAAAGGATCCCAACTGAACACAAATGGTGCTCCCATCCAGCACTTTAAGGGAGGGAAGGGGCCAGGAAGCTCATGTTTATTAAGCACCTGCTACCCACATGCCGGGTTCTGTGAATTCATGATCCCAGGTACTGCTCCCAGCAGCCTTCTCACACCAGCCCTATGAGGTAAGTATATATTCTTTTCCACTTCACAGGTTTGAAAACTAAAGCTCAGCAAATCCAACCCTTCTAAGATCACATAGCTAGTTTATAAAGCCACCAGGAGCCAGTGACAGATCTGACTCCTAAACCAGTGCTCTCTCCACTACAACACACAGCCCCCCAAGTTAGAACACGGAACTGACTTCTTTAGCCTCTGTAAAGCCAACAGAGCATCTACCTATGGGAAACCCCTAGCAGGAGTCTAAAGAGAAGTAAGCCAGGAGTTGGAGGTGAGAATCTCTGCAAAATTTTGCCTATGGGCACAGGAATCTAGGTTTCACTTTAATAATTAAATATTGAAAACCTTTCAAAACACTCCTTCCTACTTCAACCTTAGCCGCATAAGCAGGAATTTCCCAGCCATTCATCAGCCTTTATCTTATTCATTCTGCTAAGCAGGGATGAACCCCAGCTCTCTAACTTCTGTCCCACCCTTCCCAACTCCCCACACCCAAGTCTTTCAGTAGAACCCCAAGACTATAAGAACTTGG